CGGGGTGCGCGGTCCCCATCGCTGCCCTTGGTGGCAGCGGCCGAGCGCTGTGCTGGGTGCCGGGCGTGTATGGATGCATCGTGACACGCACCCAGCTACAAACCGCTGTGTTCCGGCTCTAGCAACGATAGCAGGCTGTATCTTATCTAGTAAGAAAAAAACCCAACGCCCCCATATTTAAATATCAGTGAAATTTCCATATGTCTTTGCTATCCTGTCTCAACTGAACCCCAGAGATAACGCGCAGCAATTTTTCCTTTCACAAAGACGTGTGAGAGGAACTGTTATCAAACCTCTGCATCGGGAACTAGTGCTCGATTTGACAGGTAAAGCAGATCTCTTCCTAAAAGATGGTTTTGTTTCAGCCGGGCAGCTGCACGTTGCAGCACTGTGGAGCTCGTGCTGGTCGGCTTGTCCGGGTGGCACTGAGGATATGCTGTAGCTGTTTTTATTTGGGTTTTCTCATTTATTTGGTGGTTTTCTTTAAGACGCATTGTCTAGGAAATGCTGCCTCCCCGGTGAGCCACAGCCAGGGCCATTTGATAGGGGGGTGTTGCGCATCATGTTCACTCCAGGATCAGTTTACGGTGTGGAAGGGTGGAAATTAAACTCAACATGCAGGTTTTCGGAGCCCTTCCGGGGACAAGACCTGCGTATGCGGGAAATGAGAGATGAACGCACCCTCTTGCCGTTGGGAGGGGACTCCCCACATCGTGCTCCTGCGGACCTACCGGAGACCGGCCTCCCTGGGTGCTCGCTCGTTGGTGTGGAGGCTGGATCCCCCAAAGGCTGTCCAGCGCAGAGGATTTCCAGTCTGAATCAAGCTAGCTGTGAGCAGCCTTTTGGGCCCCTCTTTTTGGGAAGCTTGCACGCTGCCTTCCTGCGAGCAAGGACCCTCTTCCAGCGTGACGCAGAGTTGCAGCAGCTTTAGCTGCAGACTCCAGCAACCACACCTCCGAGCAACATTTTGGGCTGTTTGTGTCTTCCCTATTATCGTGTGTTCCCTCTTGCCTCCCAGCAAGGCAGGGGAAGCACTGTAAATAACCGCTGAATATTTCTATGTATGAAGCGTCCTTTGCCGGTGGGGTGTGTGGAGCTGGCTAGGGCCTTCACCTGACTGTTAATTCTTGTCTTTTAGCTCAGGGTCATGGTGCCAAAGGGGACAACATCTACGAATTTCAGATTGAGTTCCTAGAACCGGTTGAGCCTAAAGTAGGTATTTTTACTTTTCTAACTCTTGCAAAGAAAAAGTAATTTTTTAAAAACTTGAAAGGAAAATGGCTGTGCGTAAAGCCTGTAATATGCTGTTTAGATTTTCCTGGTGACCCTGTAACTGCTGCAAACTAAAAGCCGCCTGTGGCAGTCCTCTGTCCCGGTGCTCAGCCACCATCCTGCCTTAACGCAAATCACCTCACTGGAGATAGTGCTCGCGTGGGTCAGCTCTAATAGAAACAGGGCCTTACATGTATCGGTTGTTAAACAGTAGTTGTAAATTTTTTTAAGGATTTAAAGCAGCAAAATAAGGGGAGAATCTGGCAACGTGTTGTCTGATGTAACCTTGACTGGAGAGCAGGGGAACGCTGTGCTGCAAAGTGTCCGTGTGATGTTTCCTGGCTTCTTTTGCAGCCTGACAAAATAAAGTCATGAAAACACACGTCTTTCTTAGGTTGCCGGTACAGATACACTGCGGCTCCTCTTGCAAAATCTTTTCTTAATTGCTGTCGTAGTCAGATAGGAGAGCTTGGCGGGAAGAGCAGCACCTTCGCATTACTCACAGGTTGCTGTAAAGACTGTCTTTACTTCTCAAAGCTGTTAGGGGCACAGGAAAACTCGGGGCTCTGCTCCCAGTGCAGGATTTGTGATGCTTATTCCTGGCTGCCTGTTGGGGACAGCTGCAGTCAGACTGGGAGCCACCATTCACCTCTGCTGCTTCAACAAGGGAGGAGACCGTTCCCTCTGTGCAACACAGCAAGGGGCCGGAGGGTAAATTTCTAGGGTCTGGTCACCCTGAAATTGATGTTGAACCGAAACTTTCCTGGGGAAAGGCATCCCCAGCTCTACGCTGCTGTCAGCCGGCGGGTTTATTGTGTGGCTCCTACCAGGTATTCAGTGGCAGACAATGAACATCTCTTGATTCCAGGATCTGGTCACCAGTTTGTCATCTGTCCTGTAAAGCAGCAGCTGCCTGGTCCACAGTGTGGGGAGAGGTGCCCACCACGGCCCATGCTTGTCCCCTGTGCGGGCAGACACGGGCTGTGCTGGCAGCCAGGCCTGGAAGGCAAGCCCTTGCCTCTGCAGAGCAGCCTCCTTCCAAAAGTCTAGTCGCTCTGAGTCACCATGGAAGGGGCTGCGAGTCTGGAAGAGGATCGATGCCGTGAAATCTATGTAACTACAGGTGGTCGGGACTGGGAAGTATTGCAGTCCAGGGTTTTCTCTTTTAGCTTTGATGTGCACCATGAGTGCCGCTTGCTGGTGCCAGGCTGGCCACCAGCGAGAGATGGAGCCTTTGACAGGCAAGGATCAGGCGTTGGTAGCTGTAAATTACAGCTACAGCCTTTGGATGTCTTAGGAGCATCCAGACAGCCTTGAGAGAGCAGTGCTGGTGTGACGTGCTCAGTTAAGAACGCAGTTCATGGCTCTTCTGCATCAGTTTCAGCTGGTTTGAGAGGTAGTCCCATGCAGAGCACCCTGGTGTAGGCTCAAGGTGCGGAGGGGTGCGATGATGGCAGTAAGGGTGGGTAACCAAGGTGACAATGCTGTGGGCTGTAAGGATGGAGGGGTTCTGGGGTGCCATTAGGCAGAGTGTGGCCGTGGTGGAGAGGGCTCATGGAGTGGTAATGACCACACTGTCAGGGCCATCAGCTCACCATTGTCTCCTGGTGTTTCCTAAGGCTATTAGCTCTTCCTCTCACTGTAGCAGATGTCACGTGGGGTCCCCTATTTTGGACAGGGACCTGTGGCTGATGGTAGTGTTATTTTTACCGCTGGCTAGAGGAAGTGAATGGCTCACAGTACTAAATGCAAGAAGGTCTAAAGCCAAGATCATGGGTTCTGCCTAGGAAGGCTAGCACCAGGGTCTGTGCTAGCTCTTTGTGGTGGGATTCAGTGGTGCTGCGTGGTACGGGCAGGCTTTCAAGCTGCTTATCAAGTCCTGCAGCCATCACAGTTGCCATCTTCAACTGGGCTGCCCTTTGCTTCCATGCCTTGGGCAGCAGAGAGATGCTTGTGCTACAGCAGTCCATGTCATCCCTGCCTCCTTGATAGGGAAAGCTTGGGTATCAACCCAGTCTCAGAGCTTGTTTCTTAGGACTTTTGCTGATGTATGCTTCTGTGCCTGCCCTCAGCCTGTATGCAGGGTGACTCAAAGGCAGCTGAACATCACTGTGCAGAAGAAAGAGAGTAACTGGTGGGAGAGACTCACCAAGCAAGAGAAGCGCCCACTCTTCCTAGCTCCTGACTTTGACCGCTGGTTAGATGAATCGGATGCTGAAATGGAGCTGAAGGAGAAGGTCAGTCCTGTGGGCGCATGTGGTGTGTGCTGCCAGCTACAAAGCAAGGCTAGCTGTTCCCTTGTCCATGAACTTGTGTTCTTAAATGAAGTTGTCTGGCATGCTGATTGTTACTGCTATTTCACACAGATCCCACGTAGAATTGGTTAAACAGTTAAACTGTGAGCAGGAGTTCAGAAATAGGCACATTTCTGGCCAGAAAGAGCGGCAGCTTGAATCTGAACTGGTGGCTGTGCACTAGCTCAGCACTGGCCAGGGCCTGCAGCCAAAGGCTTGCACCCCTTGCATGACGCCTTCGCAGCCCTGTGTCCCGATCCATATGAAGATCATATAAATGTGCCATACGGAGCCCAGAGATGCCAGTCCCGGGCACTGCTTGTCTGGAAAGCAGGGTTTCTAGGGCCTTCCTGAGCCACTGGGCTGGCCCTGACGGTGCATTCCCACCATCTGGTAAGCTCGAGCAGCTTACTGCAGCAGGGAGGTGAAAGACCGTCTTGGAAAAGACTTGAACGGATGACATTTCTGCAAATCTGTTTTACAACAAATGCTGCCCTGTTCTCCTCCACAGCCACTGAGCTTAGCGTAGAGGAGAAAGGGCCGCTGCAATGCCGGGAGCCAGAAAGCACTAGTGAAGGGCAGGCAGAGAGCCTGGGCTGGATGTTCTCAGTTCCCTTCAGGTCACTGGTGGATCATGAAATGTTTTAAGCAACAGCTCTAAGAAACAGTAATAAGTGAGAATTAACACAGAAAACAGCAGGCTTTTTCAGCAAAAGCATCTAATTACTAGAATAAAATACATAGTGAGGGCAGGATAACTAGTTAACACCCTCTGGCTTTTACTGTACCATAATATCTGGATGATGAATGTGCTGTTTTATGCAGGTGAAAGTTTAAACGCTCTAGCAACTGGCTGCTTAGCTGAGTTGTAAACCCACTAGCTTTACAGCAGTATAGTTAACAAATCACTTGCTAATTACAGTATCGGTCTTTAAAACCTTATCCTTCATCTTAAGGAAGAAGAAAAGATTAACAAAATGAAAATAGAATCCAGAGTCCCAAAAGACCGTAAGTAACCATACGTTTTTAGTGTGTAAGGTGGGGTTTAGAAAGCTTCTGTCACTCTTATATGCGAACCTCAACTCTTATGGAGGAATTTTGACTGGCTTGGTGCATCTTGGAGGGGGATCTTTGTATTGTGAGCTATTTAGCAATTTAATAAAAATGGACTGCAGTTTCCAAGGAATTTAAAAAACCTGACTAGCAAGAATTGAGTTCTAGCAGATGACGGTAAAAGCAGGCAGAACCCACAATGCACACAGCAACCCTTTTATTGCAATCAATAGCTTCCCTTTTTCTTGTAAGCTTTATTCCCACAGAAAGCCTGGTTTGCAGCTGTACTCTTTGCAGAAGTGTTACCATTGTACTCTGATCACCTGATGTGTTTATGATTGATTTTAGCTTTCAAACACCTGAAGAAGGGATACTTAATCATGTATAATCTTGTGCAGTTTTTGGGATTCTCTTGGATTTTTGTGAACATGACAGTACGACTGTTCATCTTAGGAAAAGGCAAGTAATATTTTATTTACATTGGGGTCTTTGTTTTGGTTTTTTAGTGTTGTTTTTAATACTTTCTAAATAGTTAAAACTAAAGGAAGACCTATTTAGGAAACAAAACTGTAAAAGCATCACCAAAGCATGCAACTCTCAAAAGCCATCACAGTGTCAAGGATAGGAAAATACTGTCCTCTTGTAAATCACAACTGCATATTCTGATGAATGATACTTGTACTCTGCCAAGATTACTTCTAAAGAAATCAGTTGGAGCAAAATGTCTCGCTCACTGCAATGCTAGTATTTTTGAAAATGAGACGGGCAGAATATTTTGGTTTTGAAGTGAGAACGCTTTATACTGTTGAGGTACAGCGCTATCGCATATTTTGTAAAATATTTATTGAAACAGCTCTTGATCCTTCTGTGTGTGAAACGGAGCACTTGAGCAGTGTTTCTGGCCTAACTGCTGTGACTTCAAGATAAGGCCTATAAAGAAGTTACATAATTATGCATAATGGTTTTTGAAATACAACTAGAATCCTGTTATCAAAAGCTATGCTGCTGCGCCCGCTTCCTGAACTAGAAATTCATTTGTTCTCTAAAATGGTTTCCCGTGTCTTACAGATTCCTTCTATGATACTTTTCACACTATTGCTGACATGATGTATTTCTGTCAGACCCTGGCATTAATGGAGATCATGAATTCACTAATAGGACTAGTCAGATCACCGCTGAGACCTACTGTAGCGCAGGTAATATATTAAAATTCTTCTCCTTGCTCCCCCATGTTTAAAGTAAATATTTTACGCAAGCGTTGAGACTCTCCTAAAATAAGTGATACAACCTCACTGGCACTGGACTAGAGAATATATTATTCAAGAGGCAGGAATTCGTGCTTCCCAGTCTTAGCTGTGGCAGGCTGTTTTCTTCCATCACCTACGTAAGATACTCCAGGACAACAAAAGCAAGAAGAGGCTGATGAAAAGTACGTGATTTTGATTTGGTGCCAGGGCCCTTTTTATCCTGGTTGTGGCTGTTGTGCATAAAAATGAGGATAGATGATTTAAGACTAGGTCCCTTGGATTGCAGCTAAGTACAGAGCAAAATGCATGCTCGTAAGAAGCAGGTCACAGCTCAGCTGCACAGTTAGTTATGCGCTCAGCATATGTTTTGGGCGTGAAGAGTAGATACCCTGCGTGTGTTTGACAGCGAGGACTTGCTCTTTCTTTTGATGAAGAGTGTGACTGTTCCTTAATTTGTTTTTCTTAAACAGATATTTGGAAGAAACTTCGTTTTGTTTGTTATCCTTGGAAGCTTAGAGGAAATGCAGAGCAAACCTGTGGTGTTCTTCATATTTTATTTCTGGAGTATCATTGAGCTGTTCAGGTTTGTGGGATTTTTCCTCTAGCAGATGTGTACAGAACAACATGGTTGTTCCCAAGAACTCTTTAAAGAAGGTTTTGATCCTTGTACCTTTTGGAAGAGTGGCTCTAGTGCATTGGCCCCAGAGGGTTAAAATCTCCTTTAGACACGGACTATCACAGCCTTCCTAGGTTGCTCCATCTGCCAAAAGCTGGGACAAGGCTGGAGTCTGAAAATAATACTACCCTGAACCTAGGGAAACCTGTCGCTTTTTTCCTTGAGGGTTCTGTTGCTTTGAATTTCCATTGTTAAGGGAGTGCACTATGCTCTTTTTCTCTTTCAAAAGAAGTATTTTGAAAGGTCTATCAGGCAAGCCAGGCAGTTACATTCATCCATGTGGTCAGAATAATAGCATTAGTTCTGTAAACTGCCAAATAAGGGTGTGTCCATCATGATCCAGAGGAACAATTCTTGAATATTCTTGTGTCGTTTGGGAATTACGTTGACTATTCTATAGAGCAGATATATGCAAGACTAATTCTAGCAGCAGCTTCCATTTTAAACAGTGTCTGTTTCTTCTCACGCTGAATTGGCTTTAGGTATCCATATTACATGCTTTCATGTATCGGTATTGAATGGAAACCACTAACCTGGCTCCGTTACACTGCCTGGATCCCTCTCTACCCTTTAGGAGGCTTGGCAGAAGGTATGTCCGAAAAAGACAATTTGATAAACAATGGAGTCAAGGCTGGGCAAATAACTCAATTTTTGGTTTGGCTGCTGGACTGAAAAAATCATGTAATAGAACAACAGATAAACAGACATTTGCTTTGAGCTGAACCAAATGTAAGCATTTTTGTCTTTCTTACTGAATCAAATATTTTTTTCAATTTGATGTGAAAAGAAGTCTTCCTTTTGGGCACTGGAGAGGAAAGTAAAGGCAACAAAAGGTTACCTGACAAAGTGACCAAGCGTGTGCTGCAGTCCATGCAAGCAGCACAAGACGACAATGCTCACTTGCCTCCGCTGATCCAAAGCGGTGTATTTGCTTTTGTCTGCTAGACCTGACTTGGTCAGCCTAGCTTGGGTTCACGTCAGCTCACAGATCTTGACATTATCTTGTAAATCATTGCACAGGACAGGCAGGGGCCGATTCTTCCTATGAAAGCAGCGTAGCCTGTTCTGAGACGGGCATGGGGCTTTCCAGAGAGGGCTCTGCTCCCTTTCTGCTTTGAGAGTGACTGTCCGTGGAAGAAGCAGGCACCTAGTGTTCTTGCTGTAGCCCCTGTGGGCGGAGGGGCCTTACAGTGACCTCTTCTGTCTTAACAGGTCTGGATTATTTTTAATTTTTATTTATTTAAGCAGCATATCACCGCCTAGCTTCTAGTTGTAAGAAATGTGGTGTGATCGTACCTGTCAGAACCTGTTTCTGTGAGCCAGGAGTAGGCTTGAGCGTTGCCCAACTTCAAACACAGGAAAGACTACGCCTGTTTCATTGCTGTGGGTTTTCCTGCATGGTAAATACTGCTGGCATGGGCCCTGCAGGCTACAGTTGTGTGTGAGAACACTGTCTCACCAGGCAAGTTCACTGCGCTTAGCAGTTCAGCTATGAAAGTCTATACTGCCTCAGCTAGCTGCTTTCCATCATACTGCATGTTTAAAAAAAAACAGCTTTAAAATTGGTATAATTAACAAGAGCTCGCAGATAAGAAGGGAATATCCTGAAAAAGTTGGTGTGGGCTGGGAAATTGTGTATTTTATCTGTGTTTGATAATGATGGTGGCCTTCTGCTTTCAGCTGTCTGTGTCATTCAATCCATTCCAATCTTCAGTGAAACAGGGAAATTTAGTCTGGGATTGCCAAATCCACTGAACGTCACAATCCAGTTTTCATTTTTGCTTCAAATATACCTTATAGCCTTGTTTTTAGGTAAGATATTTAATTGTATTTCTCACTATTGAAATAAAAAGGCCAGTTTCCTCTGAATGAGTATATTTTTCAAAGAAAATTGAATTCCTGCATCTTGAGGATCATGGCAACACAAAATTGCTTGAGGTTAAGCATTATCCTTGCTGCTTGTTTATGTAAATTTGTCACTGATGGAGGGGAACACATCTGCAATTAGCACTGGTTAGCCTCCCCAAGAAGGAGACCTTGGTAACAAGTTAGCAGCATTATCTACGGATCACTTGGGTTAAAAGAGTAATTTTTACATGTATTTATAGCCTCAGTATACTTAGTTTCACCTTTTACATGGTATTTTGAGTTTTGGAATGATCTAGTGGAAATCTAAACATAATTTCAGATTAAAGCAATGTTTAACTAAACTGCATTATAATCACTAGTGCAACATGAAGTCATGTTTTTCCAGGAAACAATATAGAAGGCTCTTTACATAGTAGTATATTTGAAGAAGAATGGTGCTTCATACATATTTGGTTTCTGGTGTTACATTTTTAAACATAAGTTAACTTTGTAGTATGCACACCCAGTCCGTTTGGGTATCCAGAACTCAGCAGAATCTAACCTAGAATTTTAACCTGAACTTTCACTAGATTTCTTCCCTTTCACAGACGTTGCTTAAAGAATACCTTTAATCAAGTTTCATTCTGAAATACCTGTTTGATCCTTCCCCAGCTCTGCACAGCCGGTGGTGTAACTTTTTTAAAAGCGACGAACCAACCTTCTGAGCAGCCCCATACCAAAGAACCTGTGCAGCAACTCCTGCCTCACCCCGCAAGAAAAAACTTGCATTATCTTTCAATGCTACACACACCCTTAAACCATCGCTTTTTTTGTGTGGTGGTTGGTTTGTTTGTTTGTTTTTTGTCGTTGTTTTTTTAAAATTTGGTACAGCCATCTAGCATTAAAAAGATGCAATAATGTCCTACCTAAACACTTCATTCTTTTTCAGGGGTATATATAAACTTCTGTTACCTCTACAAGCAAAGGAAACAGCACCTTGGACCAAAGAAGAGAAAGATGAAGTAAAGGAGGACTGCAGTGCTTTCTTATCTGACTTATCTCAATGACAAGATAAGCCTCTAATTCTTACGGTTTTACCCACTGTAATGTAAAGAATTTTGTAAAATTAAATGATCACGCTAGATTTCATGATTTCATAGTGAATTCAGGTAACATTCCCGTATACTGTATTTTGTTCCCTTTCAATCATGTATGCATGGCATTTACCATTGAACAGTAACATTTAAGCTTGTATCCTGTCAACTACCATATTAGAAAGAAATCCTATTATCTGCATATAATATGCTTATAAACAGTGGAGCAGCACTACATAGAAATAATGTTTATCTTTTAATTGGGTATTTGCTGTCAATATTGCATGCAGATAGGGCTTCTGATGTCGGGATATACTATTAGCTGGCACATGCTGTTCCTAGGGTGGATCTGGATGGCAGGAGGAGCACAGTCTGAGACCACTGTGAACGGCGTTTGGGTGTTTATTAACAGTTGAGGTAAACTTGCTCAGCACATACCCCCCTTTTCTTCTGCAGCATCCTGATGCTGCAGAATTAAAACTGGAAGTAGCTAATGTCCATTTAAATTCTACCAACTTAGTGTGTTTCTAGTTTAGCCTTAACCGAATAGGAGCGCTGTGTGGATCCTAGCATTCCTGTAGCAACGCATCCTTATCCAGTCATTCTGTGATATGGTCAGAAATGCTTTCCTGGTTGGTAATGCAAGCACTGAAACATAACAAAGTAAGGAAACATAGATACCAGCTTTCTCCTAGCATGTGAACCTGAACAGAACTCCATCCCACCCATGCAAAGGAAAACATGGAACTGTCATGGGAGGCGAGGCTCCTCTAATCATTCCTGGCAGGGCTGTAGCTCCTGTATTTCTAGCCTTCAGAAAGGCAGTAAAGATTGCTTTTCTACTTAAACTTAGGGGTGCGACTGAGAATTTGGTGTATGTATGTGCTTTGTTGGCTGGCCCCTGATGGGATGGAGTAGCGGGTCAAAATAACCGTGTATTATTTTGATATCTCTCAGTAAGGGAGATCCCACACAGGGTTTGAAGGGACCCTTTCCTCTGTGCTTGCTTTAAACAACAGCAACAATAAAAAAAGAGAAGCTCCTCCCACATTCCAGGTCATCTACTCTCTCACCTAGAAACCTTTGTTTCAGTTGACTTTATATCAGCATGCCCTTCTTCACACCTAGCCTCCGGTATGTAATTCCAGATCCCTCTGGCCTCCTTAATCCAGTTTAGAAAATGTACGAAAAGTTTGCTCTAAACCGTATTGTGGTTATGAACAGGTTGCTTCACAATAACTGCCACCACCCCCAGGGCAATGCAAAGCAATGCCAGCAATCCAGAACAGGCACTGAAGTTGAGATTAGCTTAGTGCCATGTTACTGTTTATCTTTTTCTACTGTAAAACAATATGAATCCTCCAGAAAATTATTTTCTATATTAAAGGTAACAAACAGCTTAATGTTTGTGATACGGACCCAGTGATTGTTACTGTAAAGGGAGGGAAACAGTGTTATATGGAGATTTTAACAAAGAATTGGTACAAGCTCCACGCTGCATTTCACAAACGTGTTCTGTCAACAAAAGGAATGATGCAACTTCTCTTTAGGGATACTTGAGGCTCGTACTCAAAGGAGAGTGCAGCTTACTTTACTCAGAAGAGTTGAGCATTATTTACACAGTATTTCACTATAGCACACACTGTACCTATGTTTAAAGTATGTCAAAGGATTGAATTAGCTGAGTAATGGAACAGCAAGGATCACGTTCATACTTTAATTTCTCCACTGGGCATTTAAACTTCTGTTATGAAATCCGTATGTATTCATACATGATATTTCTCAGTGAAATTGTGGTACCTAGTGCAAGCTGTCATGGGTCTTACACTACTGAATTTTAATCCTTCAGAAAGAATGTGTTTCTATAATAAAGATTTACAACCGAATTTTGCTTTAGTTCAGTTGTTTGTTCTTTCCCTGAATGTGAGAAGTTGTATAATTTAACTCTTGTGATAAACAGCTGGGAGCCAAGCCTTTACCAAGTCAATGTTTTAGGCCACACAGCCTAGTTGCTATGAAAATGGAACAAATCCGACTTAAATTTTCATGAAGAATTACTCTTTATTAATATTACACAAATAAAAAACGTCTCACAAGATTAAGTTACTTTCACAAGCATAAGCACGGCAATGCAAGTAATGATTAACTCTCATTACGGCAGTACAGACTGGCTTTCAAGTTGGGCATAAAATTACTGACAACACCCTGAAATTAGCTGTGTATCTGATCTTGCACAGCGATTCTCACATGTTTTCTTTGGACTAATTAAGTCAGTGTATAAAGTATAGTAGCTGCCTTTTAAGATACTTTTACCAGTGAGTTCAGTTATGTAGTAACCGCATTTTGGGGAGACCAAAAGCCATGAGCAGTCTGCTGCCTGTGATGGCATTTTCTTTCTCTCCTCGCATGTACTGAATAACTTCCACCCATCATCCAACACAGTAATTGACTTTGGGACACTTTCCACAGTTTCCAGGTCTGACTAAAGCATCCACAAACTAGCTACATTTATTTAGAGAGCACTGATGCGGGTAAGGGACCGCATTTTCACAGGAAGTTCTCCAAACAGTAATTAAACAGGCCCTAGAAAGTAAACGGGACAAGAAAATTTGAACCACTTGAGTCTTAATCTACAGAAGTTCCCTAAATGGAGACTTCACATTCTTTCAGTGCTGCTACTGGAAAAGTCTGTCTGCAGCGGAGCAATGTTATGATCATAGGCAGCATATTCTGATGCACCAGTACTTGCCACTTTAAGCTGCTGAGCAGCATGTGTGAGCTGAAACGCTGCATCAGGATGAGCTGTGTCAGGAAGCAGGGTGCATTCCCGCTCCAGCATGTCTGCCACACCTTTCAAGAGGTCCAAAAAGCCAAAGGCCAGAGCTGCCTTTCGTAAACGATTAAGTTCCTGCAAAGAAGGAAAACTCCTTTTAAAGCCACTGTAAGCCTTTACATAAAACATGGTTTTCTTACTTTTTTTTTTAAAGGCAAGCTTATTCACTTAGAGGACAATAACCTGAGTGATCAGTACAGCTGCTGGAAACTGCCCAGCTGCTCACGAGATAAAAAATGCTTCAGGGCTGAAGATGATTGATAGTGGCACAACTAAACAGTCGGTTTTCCCTTGATCCCTTCCTATAAATCTTCACTTCTCCCTTTTCCCTTTTGTGCATTCAGTTATTGTACCTGCCTGTTTTGTCTGTGTCCCAGCTGGGAGCAGCCTCCAGCTTAGCCTTCACTGACTGCTGCCTTTAACCACAGTGTCCAGCAAAATGTATATATATTGATTTTTCTTCACTATAAACTGACAAGTGCTTATGTGCATTTAGGCAGGGTATTCATTCTTGAAGTCTCTGGGGGCTACAATAACAAACTCCTTCAGCACTAAGCTTACAAGGGGAACAACAATTACCTCCAGCTACAGTCTAGATTATGGATTATTATGATGTGGCCAAATGTGCCTGGAATTTTGTCTTTCTCTGCTTCAGTTGTAGAAAAAATGTAGGAGACATTTTCAGACTCAGAATGACATCTGTGTTCCTATTCATCTCTCATCCCTCTATTTCTGCCTGGACAACAGCATAAAATCTGCAAAGAAGTTCACCACTGAAGTAGCAGGGATCATGAGGGGCACCTGCAAACATGACACATCTATACCACCCTGCCAGAGAACGTGGTGGCAGGAAAACCAAACCCCCTTGTCTCACCTTAACTAGTCTGTAAAAGAGACCCAGGATGTCTCCTTTACAGAACCATGTATATTTTTGCAGAGCCCTACAAACCGGCACAGAACATACCACAGACACAGACAGTATTGTTCCTCTGTCAAATCACCGCTATCACTATGGATGAAATTTGGGCCAGCCTGAAACGTTACTCACTTTATAGAAGGTTTGAGTTTTTTCAGGGAGTTTCCTTGCATTTCTCAAGATCTTCTGTACATCTGTCTGCAGAAAAGAAAAAAAAAAATCTTGGCAACTGCTGGGGAAGCTGCAGAAAAAATCCTCAACTATTTATTGTTAAATTATCCTGACCATTGACAAGACTGCAGCTCACAAAGGCTGCAACATAAACAGTAATTATACTAAATCCAATAAACTAAGCCAGATGTTACACTGGAGACACAGCTTTCATTATACAGAAAGCTATGCTTTCTGATTGCATTTTAATCATGACATTTTAAAGAGGCGGTGTTTATAAAAATGAAAGAAAAGCAATAAAGCAACTACATTAAACAGACAAGACACACACAGACTCCACTTTGCTGGTAAGATGGCTACTGCTGATCAAAGGAAAGCATTGAGTCCAAAACCTGTATCACTACCTGGAGGCCACTTGGTTTAATCCATACTGTAACATTCTGTGCGTAACTGCGCTTGTTCTTGGGTTGCAAGGGGAAAGGGCTCTTATTGTCATCCTCTCCGTAAGGATTTTCTTTCGCATCTGGGAGAAAAAAGAAAATAAACAGACTTAACAACTAAGATTTGGCACAGTCATTCATGCAACACTGGATGTGTAAGAGTTATTCAAATGAGTGTGACAAGTACCTGAAATGGGTCCAAGCTGTGCCATCTTCCCCAGCCATGGAAGGGGCTCAGGACCAGGTTCAAAGAGCGACATCATGAGGTTTGATTTCTTCTTGCTATCAGCTTGTGAATAGAGCATTCCATACCACTCTGGCCTGTTGAAAAGAGCAAATCCCAAAGGCTGAAAATCTTCCGCCCCTCTTTGCCTAGAATTTGCCTCCCTCCCACTGTGTAGAGGCTCACTGTTGCAATTTATACTGGCAGAAACATATCCACAATTAAAAATCCACAGCTTTTTGTCTAGCAGTGCAGAGTTCTGTACAGAATACAGATATAAATAAGCATAATTTATAAATAAAGCATAAATGAGCAAAGTCAGAGATTTTTCAGGCAGACATCCAGCTCCATACCCCAACTGGACGACAGCAACCATGCCTTCCACTTTCAGGCTGCCGTGTAGTAAAACACAGAAGTTGGGGATTTTCCCGGCAATCTGATTAGCTGAATTCTCATCTTCGGTGTCATCTGTGATCCCAGGGCCCACCTCATCACCTTCTGGGGAAGAATAAAAGCAAAGAAAGAGATAACATAAGAATAAACTCAAACACACTAGCTCAATTTCCATTACACCACCCTGTATTTTCTGCCATGCAAGAGTTAATTAATACTTTTGTAGAACGAACAGCTGCTAAATGAACTGTTTGGGCAAAGTGGCACTATAATGTTATATAAATATTCCACTGCATCCTACTCACAAAACAGTTAACAAAAAACTGCAAATAAAACCTCAGCTTTGAAGAAACTAGAAGTGAAATGAAACGGCACCAAGAGTCTGGCAACAAATACACGTCTGCTTCTGAACCAAAAGCATCCTGAATTTCAAGTCCTCCTCTCCTATGCAATTTGTGGTCATTATGAGAAACTTACTATGTTTTAGCAGCTGGAATACAGCTGTGATTTACCTGTTAATATCTTCTAAGGTGAAAGGCCTAGCAGGATAAGAGTGTTAATAGAGAGATGAAAGCATATCTGGAGCTTTCATTCTTCTTTACCAAGAGAAATCCCACTTTCTCTTTGCTCCACTCCAAGGCCATGACAAAAGGAAAGGGGAAGTCCTTCTTATCACAGGCTGATGCACACATCCTCAAAGCCTACACCAGTCATTTGCATAGATACATATATACTTGGCCCCAGTGAGGAGCAATTAATGCTCAAGTACAACTGAGCAATCTAGTTGTGATTAAGATCAGATTTTTCACAACAACAAATCATTCCAAGAACCAATTAGATGCAGGCATTAAATATTCATCTTGCACCACATACTTCATGGCCCATAAATATTTTTACCTTTAAGTTTAGCATGTTCTATTAATAATGATGCTATGAGGACACTGTTCCCTCTATTAACTTTCTAAACAACACAGTACTCAAAAAAAGAGAGAGCTTGTGTTCAAGGTTTTAATTTTAATGTAACCACACAAACATGTCTTTAGAGACATCTGGCATTTTGATAGAGCATAAAACCTGTGCTTCTAGTCTAAACCACCACAGACATTACAAGGGAAGTTTAAAGCAATTTTTGCTAAAAGAAACAAAACTTGCTCACCTCTGTTAAGTGCAATGGGCAGTACCAAGTGTCTGGACAGGACAGGAGGGCTAGAAATGTCAGCTATATCTACAAAACCAACAATTTCTAGATCTGTGGGGAGACAACAGGTTTAGGTCAGATTTGGAAATAGCTGAAATGTATTCAGAGTCAATTTAACATTACAACTTGTTACACCACTAAGTTTCCTGAAGCAGTGACTAGAGGTAGCACAACAGAGCCCCAACCTTCACTGGGGTTTCTAGATGTCAGTAAGATACAAACATTCATACATAATACTGTAACACTTTAAGATGAGAACATAATTTCCATCACACACATACTGTTGTCCCATGAACCGTGCTGCAAGACAAATACAGAATTGTGCACGTTGTTTTTTACGCTGTACCCAACCTACTGGCATTTTAAATTCAAAAGGAGAGAAAACAGAGGTTATCTTTAAGTATAAGGGTGTAGCTAGACTAAACCAAATCTACTAGCTTCCAGCTGGCATCACAGAACCTGCAGGAATTCCCATTCAACTCTCTGGCAGGGTTAGCCCCAATGGGCCATGTTCCTAGGACTGGGAAGACCGAGTTGTCGTTCTTGAGTTTTATATGCCCACTGGAAGTTGAAATGCAGCTCCACCTCATACAGACTTGTGGGCATTTGCTGGTAAAAGGCCGAGGCAGCCATGTCCTTCATGCTCAGCCTTGTCCGACTTCCTCCCCACTTCTTGGCTGCAAGAAATGTTGTATCAGGTTCATGTC